AGTCAGCAGTCTTCCCCATGATTGTGTAGCCTATAGAACTAGACTGAAAGAAGTTTGAGTTAATTAGCTGATTAGAGTGTGGTACCAGGTGCCATCCATTTTGAACCTTTTCACAAGATTCTAATTTTCTGATATGCTGAATTTGAGATTTTCATTTGTTGTCATTTATAATCATCAAAATTAAACGAAATAAACATTTGAAATATATGAGTTTGTATGTAATGTATGAATATAATATACAAGTTTCACTTTTTAAATGGAATTACTGAAATAAATCTACTTTTTCATGATATTCTAATTTTATGACCAGCACCTGTYTATGAACAAAATGTGACAGTTTTCACCCTCAGCTGTTAACATTAACCTTGATCAATAACATTTAAAGACCTCAGTTAGTGCTTCTAAATTTAGCCTATACATTTAGAAAGTGCTAATCCACTAATGAATTTTAAAATTAGCAAAAGCCCTAAAGCACTAATCATGAAATTAGTTCCTCGTTAGTGCTTTAGGGGAACTGTGCCCAGCACTGGAAACTGGAGATACAAACCTCACAGATGCTAACGTCTGCTACATTCACACGTTAYATAAGAAACATGTTTGTTACACAGAAACTAATCTTTGTCCCTTTAATGCTCTATTATTTAACAGCCTTTATTCTGAGGGGATTCATCACTGTCTCATGTATGAGCCCTTGAACTGGTTAGCTTTAGGTGTGCACCGATTCCAGTTTTTTTGCCCATCTCCAATCTATAAAAAGTCTGACCTGCTAATTCTGATTGTGTCCAATATTGATTTTTTTTAGTTAGCTGACACTGTCAGATGTTATAAAGCCAGAATACAACTTCAATGTTCAAATGTTATTTTACTGAAATAATTAGAAAGAATATCCTTAAAACAAAACAAACTTGTTTTAACTGGATATTATGTAGAGCTCACAGCAGAGCAAAAGAGGATAGTGGCTGATTTTCAGACCTTTGTGGAAGTAGAAAAGCAGATCTGCACTGATCTTAGTTAAGGATTGGCAAAAATAAGGAAATCAGCACCGATAAATCGGTGCACCCCGAGTTAACTCCCAAGACTCGAAGAAAATTTCATTGGTTATTTACTTTAACATTTTTTAAATTTTCCTCTGTATTTAAAACTGTTCTTAATCCCATTTAGTTCACATTATAACCTGAGAAAATCTGATCAGTTTTTTTCTTCACATCGAAAATCGTAAGAAATCAGACGTTGTGCATTTCAGRTTAAACTCTGTCAGACTGGGATAAMTTGCCTCCCTCATTTGGATATTTTACCTCTTTTCATATTTTTAAACTGTCTTTTTATTTACTGTCAAACATTTTTCTCCTGTTTTCAATAAGAACAAGAACTCAGTTATTCTGGATTTACTCCCAACATGTATATCAGGGGTGGGCAATCATGGTCCTCGAGGGCCGCAGCCATTCATGTTTTACATGTTTCCCTGCTCCACACCTGATT